TACAGCACCTTTATATTAAAAAGCCCTCACCCATCTAGGTACCGACCAGGCTCGATCTTGCTTAGCTTCTGGGATCGGACGAAAACCGGTGTTTCAACGTGATATGGCCGTAAGCCGATAGTATCGCGAAGAAATAGCATAAAACACGAAAGCATTTATAGAATGCCTACAAAGAAAAAAAAAATGACACCCAAAAAATTATACCGGATCGGTCATCGCCTGGGTCAACAATGACCGCGTACCCCAGAGGTAAAGCTACATAGGGCCGAAAAGTCAGCTAAAGGTTCCAAATCTCCATGAAAAGAGTCTGAAGGCGGATCATAAAACCCAATGATGAACATGTTCGACATCAATTGCAGAAAGACCTATGTGGACAAAGGAAGATAACAAACAGGTCCTAGCAACTTATAACGCAATTCATTTCCCATCCACAGCATCAAACATACAAAATCTGAAGAAAGAGAAGAAATACTACTTGAAAGCCATTAATAGTAATGGTAATATTAGCCGTTTCCTTATCAGGAAGCATTCAGCATTGACTGCCTGAGCATTCAGTGCTGCTCTTGGTTGAAATTTATATAATCTTTCCCTTAAAACAATTTTTTTTCTCAAGTCATATGATAGACCACACTGGATTAGTATGAATATATTTTTAAATTATCATAAAAATATTTATTCCGAAGTTGTTTTCCTCGCCAAATGTGAGATTATTTTTCTAAAGTTTTGTTACGCATGCCTTCGCAATGAATCAACTCCATCAATCATCACCATGAGTTTACCTTATTATGAATGACGTAATAGCAATAATAGAATAAAGATATTTTCAGAATCAAAACTAAAATGCTTCCCACTTTGGGTGGTAATGGTAACGCTAATACTAACCGTTTTCTTACAAGGAAACATTTATGATCCATTAACTGAGCAGCCAGTACTGCTGTCGATTGAAATTTATAAAATATCTCTCTTAAAATAATTTTCCAAAAAATGGCTTTCAAAATTTCACTCGCTGTTGTCGCTCTTTCCAGTATTGATGTGGGTTTCCTTCTTAATATTTTATTTGAACTACAGTGGAACCTCGGCTCCCGAATTTAATTCTTTCCTGAAGGCCGTTCGTAACCTGAAATGTTCGTAGACCGAAACTATTTTCCAATAGGAATCAATGTAGAGAAAAAAAGTCACAGTACAATAAAACTGGAAAAGAAAAGCACAACTCAACACACGAATGTATACAACACGGCGGTCGATTCAGAAATTATTCCGTTCGCGTTAACTCGGTTCCGCGATGTTGTTCGAGAACCGAAATGTTGTTCGAGAACCGAAATGTTGTTCGAGAACAGAAATGTTGTTCGAGAACCGAAATGTTGTTCGATAACCGAGGCATTTTATCTCGAATTTTCTGTTCGAAAACCGATTTGTTCGACACGTGAGACGTTCGAGAACTGAGGTTGCACTGTATTGTGCAACGTCAACATTTTGCTTATATCCTTATTTTCTCTTCGAGTTACATGTGCTATCCATTTTAGTTGCTCCTGCTGCCATTGATAGTCCTCACGTGATGTGGCTTCTGTTATTTGGTACAGTTCTTTGTTATTCTGTCTGCAAAGACCCACAGACGTTATACGCTGAAAGCCATTTTTAAACATTAATCTTAGAAAGCAGTTGTATACAACTGACAGTTTACATATTTCTGAATGGGTTTGGCGTCCAGCATAATAACCATATGAAAGTCTCGACTCGACGAGATTACTTAAGAACATGACTCACGTTTTCAGGTTAATGTTTTTGTTTTGTAGCAACGTGCGGTGTTAGGCGAAACTATCCCTCGTGCAGCTTATTCTATGTCCAATTTCCTTAAACTGGAAAATATTTGTGCGTATTTTGATGAAAGTTTGAACTAATATGCACGATCCTACGGCATCTTACAATTAAGAAATTATACTGAATCTCAGTTACATCTCCAACCAATTGTACTAACAATCACAATCTGTTAATTTGATGTTTCGTTTTGAAAGTGGGAGGCAGTTCGTAAAACAAACAAACAAACATAAAAGACAATGGTAATAATAAACCATATAATAATTATCAAAGTGTATTTATTTATATATTTCCTGTTCCATCTATAGTGGGGAAAGGAGGTAAATCAACTTAAGGTAATAAATCTATGAATGATTACTTCCCTTAGTCGTTTTAATAATCTATACAAATAATATATTTATCTGCATTTAGACAAAATTATTTCCCGAGCAAAATGAACCGTTTAATTAATCATTTTAATCACCTATGTTTCTTTAACTGCAGTCTCATTTGTTCAAGCCTTTCATGTGAGACAACCAGAAACCTTTGTCTATTAAGCAATGGTCTTGCATCTACTTGCTCTTGAAATAGGCTTTGCTGTCGCCGTCTTTGTCGTTCTGTTTCCATTTAACTGTTATAACATGAAAAGATATTGAGTAAAAAGCAGTTTATATAATATCAGGAGTAATCAATAAATCACAGATACCAATGTACGTCTAAAAATATAAAGGGTACGGATTAATTAAATGGTTCATTGACCTCTGTTTTACTTGTCAGTTCTTTATCTCCACATTATTGAATCTCTATACATTGTTTCAAAACTTTTGTTTCATTGTATCTCACTATTAAAATTTTCTAAAAATTGCCACGCTTACACTAGTAACAATAATAATTACGTTTGTGCTACAGTAGTCATGACTCTTATGGCTTCATGTACAGGATTTCTTTTGGTAAATTAAGATGGACTACAATAGTTATCCTATTCAGCGCCACAGATTTGCTTGCCATTTGTCTGACCATAACAAATTGGTCGTGTCTCATACGAGTTGACATATTGTTCATCATCTATGTTCATGAGCAGGAGTAGTAGGGAACATCGTTGCCAGTGGTCGAGAAGGTTGTTTTTTTTAAGTTTGAGATGCAGTTAAGCCGATTTGGCAGTTACATGTAGATAGTTGGTAACACCCTCAACCAGAGATCATTTGAGCAGACTGACTAAACCAACGTAAAAGTAGTTATAACTTGGCTCAGCCTGCAAAATCCGTCACCTTGTCAGGCATATTTAGCTGTGATGCATGTGTCTAATATGCTCTTAACAAACTGGTTGATAAGTATAATGGGTTCCATACCCCAGATGCTCTCTCACTAAATAATAATAATAATAACAATTTCAAATGGGCGTAGAGATGCAACTACAGCACAATACCCCGACTAAAACTGCAAAATACTTAAAAAAGACAGCAACGACGAATGCAACCGACCAGATACAGAAGCGCTGGCAAGATAAACCGCTTCATGGCCAATACCCTGCCCGTACCAAACAAGCTGATGTAGACAAAACCCGTATCCATCAGTGCAAGGATGAAAGCTGAAACTGAAGGTTTTATCCTTGCTGCACAGGACCAATGCTTGCTAACTAGGAATTATCAAGCACATATACTAAAATATTGTGTCAGCCCAAAATGCAGATTCTGTGATAAATATCCAGAAACGATTGATCATCTTGTATCAGGTTGCATGATATTGGCACCCACTGAATATAAAACCCGGCATGACAGAGTGGGCCAATATCTGCACTGGAAAATCTGCAACTTCTACGGGAAGAAAACTGAAACAAACTGGTATGAACACCACCCAGACCCGGTTACGGAGATAGGACCTGTTACAATTCTATGGGACTACACAATACACACTGACAGAACAATCAAGGCCAACCGGCCAGATATTGTTATTAAAGACCACAAACAAAAAAAGTGCCTTCTTATTGATATGGCAGTCCCTGCTGACTGCAATGTATCTTTGAAGATATTCAAAAAGCTGTCAAAATACAAGGACCTTGAAATAGAAATCTCAAAAATGTGGTATATGGGAACATCAACAATCTCTGTTGTAGTTGAAGCCCTAGGACTTGTTGGAAAAGATTGCAGTAGACTAATTGAAGGGATTCCTGGAAGTCCATGCCTCAAGGGGATACAAAAAATTGTTCTGACAAGTACAGCCCACACTTTACAAAGGGCTTTATCTATGTAATTTTTTTTTTTTTTTGTTATTGGAAAGCGTTATGATGCCATTTCTAACCATAGGTCCCTGGGCGGAATCCGGAAAGAAATGTGTAAACGCCAGAAATCAAAGAAAATAAAAATAATAATAATCATGAAAATGGATGAAAAAATAATAAAAAACTTTATATTTTCCATAAAGGCTATTACGTTATAAGGAATGCGGTGCTTTCTTCCACGCAGGTATCAAAATCCTCTAGATTGTTTTTATTGTCTCTAAAAAATTGTCGTTGTTCACATGTTCGGTTCATGGTATTCTCAACATCTTTCTGTAGAATCGCATTTCTGTTTCTTCAAGTCGCTTCTTGATATTTGAGGATATTCTCCAGTATTCGCTGCCATATAGGAGGACAGATATCACGTAACAGTTCAGTACTCTTTTCTTTGTTTCTAACGAAAATTTTCGGGTTTTTTAATACTTTGCTTAGTTTTTGGAATCCCAATGAGCCATTGGATTTCAGATGCCCATTCCGCTCTCTGTTAAAACACTTTCCAGATATTTAACTTGTTGTACTTGTTTTATTTTGGCATCTCCAATCTATAATTTGCATGTTTGGCTGTTCTTTTTGCTAACAACCATGCATTCTGTCTTCTTGCAATTGATATTTAGTCCTTTCTTCTCGCTTTCCTTCACTACCTTCCGTAGGATTTTTTTCAGTTTTCTTTGCATGTCTTCTAATTATTTAAGAAATAACTCGCTGAACACGTTATTCTTGTTCTATGGCCCGTGTGTCCTCAGGGTGTGGGCAATCATGGCTCTCTATAACTTCCAGGTCGATGGGTTTTGTTTGGTGTAAACGATCAATGTTTTTATATATATATATATATATATATATATATATATATATATATATATATATATATCATTTTATTACCACATCTTGTGGTAATAAAATGAAACACATCTACCCCACTCTCGCTTGTAAGCATCCATTATTTTATTATAAAAATAAACGTTTTCAGTACTAAAGCTTAATTAGTCAAATAAAGCTTCTATTTAGAGTTGTTAATACATAACACACACACACACACACTTCCGT